CAGCTTCTAGTGGCTGTCTCACTGACAGCCGCCAGAGGCGCTTCCGTGCTTCTCACTGTGATTTTCACAGTGAGAAGACGCCAGCGTCCATAGTAAAGCATTGAGAAATGCTTTCCTATGGACTGATTGAATGTGCGCTCTGCTCTTGCCGTGCATGCACATTCAGTGGAAGAGGGAGGAGAGTCCCCAGCGCCAAGGCGCTGGAGAAAGGTAAGCCTTTAACCCCTTTCTCCCCCTTCAGACCGGCGGTAGGGGGGCAGTGAGGGTGGGACCTATTAACACTATATTGCCAGGAAACCAAGTTTGTTTCCCTGGCACTATAGTGGTACTTTAATCAAAAGATGTACAGAATGATTTACTAAAGTTAGAATTGTAAAAATTCTAAGTGTATTTCACATTTAAGGTCACATTGGCTGAATTGTAGAAATTATCCAAGTCAGCTATGCTTTCAGTTTGGCTGTTTGTTTGTTTTTTTCTAAAATTTGAAATTTACTTTGAATGCTCAGCAATTTTCATTTTAGTGAATAGCTCTGTTATGATGTATAAGACAGCAATTCTGATTATAAACACTAGTCATGTGTTTTTTTAGTGGCTGCCAGTGGTGTGTGAGAACCTGTTTGGTATGAAATGAAAATTAGTGGTAATAGCCTTACACAAACAAGAATTTCCCTTTTGATTGAATAAACTCACTCTTGTAGTATAGATGTAATACTTAATGTATGCGAGATGTATTTGTTTTCTAATTTGAGGTTTTCTGAAATATCTTACAGACTTTGGAAGATGCAATCCTGGAAAAACCATTGGATAAACAAGATGCATATAATATGCTATCAATGTAGGCAGCCCTTTTATTTATTTCTTTTAAGGATAGCTGATCTTAAAGAGGTTTGAAATACAATTGAAAAAAAAATACACAATTTGTAGAAGAAACAACAATAATATATTGCAAAGGCATAGTGGTTTTTGGAAATCTGTCTGAAATAGAAATTTTTGAAATTCTTTTTGGAAGAAAAGCTATTGTTGACCACTGGGAATCTAACGTACTAGACGTGGACGAGTCTGAATCAAATTAGTTTTAAACTACGCCTTATCCACCCATCTGGTATTTACTTGTGGAGTCTTGCTCCTGGAAAATCATTGTAAATCTTTGTTCGAGTGTGGAATAAAAGGAGTTTGGTTCAGAGAAACCATCAGCAACATATTTTTGCACAAGACTACTGCAAACTGTGTGCATGTCATTGTCTCACTCAATGTACTGTACTTTCACATTTTAGGTTTCTTTTGGATTATGTATTCTTATTTTTAATAACGCCAACAAATTCCATAGCACTGTACAATAGGTAAAGTAACAGACGTGTATTTGCAACAGGACTAGTTGGACGCACAGGAACAGAGGGTGTTGTGAACCCTGCTTAAACAAACTTACATTCTAACTCTTCTGTTTGCAAGATTAAGGCCCAAAAGATTGAACTGGAAAGTCTTCAACTGTTCCTTAAACCATTAAAGACCAGTGATGACCTATTTCATCTTGACACTGTTCTTTAAGGATCTTATTTTAGAACGGAAGAACATTGTACGGCTAGTTGGAGTTGGCAGAACTCAATAAGTGGAACATGCCATTTTGGTTCTCGGGTGTATGTTGATAATTTGTAATGACAGTATAGAATAGAGTTTGGTCCCTAATTGGTTAAATATGCAAGTATGCTGCGTATAGTGTTGGGTTCAGGGCTAGACAAATTTCTCTACATTTTTAGAGCCAGACGCCGGTTTCATTAAACCTTTGAGTACCTGATGTCTGCAGAGTACTGTCTAGAAGTGAAATTGGTCTTTCCTTGGCATCTACTGATAGAACACGTTGTCTCTGCTTACTGTGAGATCAGTGACAGCTTCTAGAATTTACTTTCTTTCTAACTTAACATTCAGACAAAGCATCAGGTGGAGGTGATATGAAGTCACGTCCTTCTGGCACTAACACTTGCCAAACTACAAATCTCATGAACGGATGCCAGCCCAAAACACAGATATTGACTAAAAACATTGCTCTTGTCATAGAATGTTGTCTTTCATTGAGCTGTATCACACCCCTTAAAATATACTGTCTACTGTGTGTTAAAATATTGTACCTTTTTTGACTTTAGGTTGAATGGTAAAGAGCATAGTGTGTTCACAGGTGTCGCAATTGTTCACTGCAAAAGCAACAAAGGTAAGGTTTTAAAATCCATTCTATTTTTTTATGATCATTCTAATTTTAAATTATACTTTCAATTATACATGATTCTGTAAATACAGATCCAGTAGATCTAGTGTCCAAACAAAAATAAATTTGTAAATGAAAACCAGATATTCCCATAATGTTTCCACTTCTACTGTTACGAATAATGTGCAGACTAACCAACTATTCCCCAAGTGGCAGCTATCCCTTTAAATATTCCCTTACGAAGGTGCTTGTGTTAGCACAGAAATTTAGGTCCCAGTAATTGCATACCTACTTACTGAGGTAAGGGGGAATTTAGCTAGCCCTTTGTTATGTTTCTATTCTATACTCTGATTTTTAGTAGGCTGCTTTCACACTGAAGCTGCGGTGTTTTCTGTATGTAGCCATATAGTTGTATGTTAATGTAGATCACAGGAATAATCCACCTGGTGAATGAGGTTTTGGTGAATTCAACTAGCCTTTTTATCTAGTTGGCTATTGCTGTCTTCTTAGCCATATTTGAGACAGTATTCAGTAAGGATAGACTTATAGAAGGAGTCTGCTTCGAAACCCTTGTTTGTAATTGGGCATTTCAACACCTGAGGTTGTCAGTAACTTAATTGTACTGATATGTGGGGGGGTGGTTCTTCATACAAAAATGTATATTCGACTTATACCAAGTAGGCTTCCTGTAATTTGATGACTGGAACATAGACCCCCGTCCTCACTGTTTTTAAAAAGTTAGGTAGTTCAGAAAGAGAGAGTTATCTCTATATCTTTTGTCCTTTTTTTATTTATTTTTTATTTTTTTATTAATGATCGTGGGACCTCTCATGGCATTTCAGGTCATTAAAGCTGTGTTTGAGATACCCTAGCACTATTTGTTACAATTTTAAAGGGACAGTTTCCACTTTGAGGAGAGTTGGTTATCTTGCATATCTTTGTAACCATAGATGTCTGTGACTACCTTGTTTCATTTTTGTTTGAATTCTCACACTAGATCTGCTGGACCTGTATGTACATGGTTATGCCATATACCAGTTCTAGTGCTCGTACTGAACCATGCTGACCTACTGGTTAGTCTGATATTTTTCTTCTTTAATTTTAAATAATGTTTGTCCCTGGTTAATTGTATTTCCTGTTTTTGTAGCACTATAATTTTCTTAAACTCTTAATCTCTTCTCTCTGTCTAGTCTTCTGTTGAAGTAAATCAGTAACCCAAAAGTGACCAAGGGAACTAGGAAACTACCTTTTGCTAGCAGTTTGCAAAAGCATACACAGATAAAGTTGAGAGCTGCTGTTCAATGACCTTTACCGTACTTTGTGACATAACTGCCAGCGTGATGCATAGTTGGCACTTTTTCCTTTGTTGGATAGAACTGCTACTTTATTATAAATCATAATGGTTCAAACTTGTTTCCAAAGATCACATACATATTAACAGAATGTGATTTTTACTAACTTTCTATTTACATTTCATTTTCATGGTTTCTCCACATCTGCATTTTCAGGTCTCTAAACAAACTGCATTTTTACTCCTTACCAGCCCCAACTGTTTCATTTTGATGTTTTATCCCTTCTTCTTGCATATTCTGCATCAATGAGCCTTGCTTAAATTGACTGCATGCAGCACCCAAATAAAATGATCAGGAACCTGTCCTGTGAAACTAGCAGTAACCTATTGGAGGAGAGATTAATCATTATGTCCTACAGTAATGTTCGAAAAGTGAAGCAATCCCCTTGGAAACCAGTGGCATCAGCAGAAAAATGCCATTGGTGATTGTTTCATTGTTAGAACTTTGCCCTAGTTTTCTATCAGTGACCCATTTCTACATCTCTCACAATGTTAGGTCTGACTTCAGCAAACAGGTGAGATCTACCAGACCTATGGTGTTAAAAGGACACTTAACACGAGAACCACTATAGGTTAATGTAATGGTTTAGGTGCAAAACAACTGTCCCTACAGTTTGTACAGTGTGAACACTACCTTATCTGTAAAAAGGTCGTGTTTGCATTGCTACTTAAAGACAGCTCTGTTTATGTTACTCAGAAAAACTGCATTTAGGTGTCTGCTAGACTTGCTTCTTATTGCCGTCAATCTTTGCAGGAATAAGAGTCTTCATCTTCATGCTTTCCATGCACATGTGCAGAAGTCCCCTGGCAATGCTTTGCCCTAGGGATGAGATGATCAGTAATGATCAGAGTTGGTAGGGAAGGCAGGGGGCTGGGGCCAGTGTAAACTGTCAAACTGTCCTTACATTTGGAGGGATGCACTGGGCACATCTGGCACCATAACTACTTCATCAGTAGTGGTTATGGTGCTTGCAATGTTCCTTTGAATGCACTATGCATGTTTAAATATTGGGCCTCTTTCAATATATAGGGAGGCATTTTAGTCAAAGCTGTGAATAGGTATGGATAGGGCTGCTTAAACAAAATTATTTAACTACTAAATGGCAGAGAATTGAGCACTGACAATGCAGAGACATTATCTGTGCACTAAAACCACTTCATTAAGCTAAAGTTGTTTTGATGCTTTTAATGGTATTTCATGTCCTGTCTGCCTTTTCCCGTATGCAATGGTATAATGATACCAATAGGTAATTTGTTGGTATGTATCTGCATCCGGATAAATACACTAAAGTAGCCATCTTGACAAAGGCAGAGACATTTCTGTACTTTTGCTGATGTAATTTAACTGAATTTGAGTACCTACCCAAACCTGATATTGCTAATCTCAAGTGCATGTACTATTAAAGACTCCCCTAAAGAGTTCAGAGTTTTGTAACGCATTAAAAAAAGCCAGACGAGGTGGCCGAGTTATTAAGGCGACGGACTGCTAATTCATTGTGCTCTGCATGCATGGGTTTAAATCCCATCTTCGTCGAATGCATGGAATAGCCTTCCGGCTGAAGTGGTAGAGGTTAACACAGTAAAGGAGTTTAAGCATGCGTGGGATATGCATAAGGCTATCTTAACTGTACTATAAGGCCAGGGACTAATGAAAGTATTTAAAAAATTGGGCAGACTAGATGGTCCGAATGGTTCTTATCTGCCGTCACATTCACTGTTTATTTAAACATATTCCTTGTTCAGTCTCAGCATTTTTTTCCCCACAGATAATCAGTTGGAGACAAATATTATTGATTTTTATGAGGAAACAAAGGTAAAGTTTGCAAATTTGTCAGAGGATCTGCTATGGGAATATGTTCACAGCGGAGAACCAATGTAAGCACACAAGTCATTACTTATTTTTTGAGTATTTCTGTAGTAAACCCTTTCTTTTATTGAGGTGTAAGCATTTTAACAAATACTGCCCTTCTTATGTATGCATTTATATCTTTATCTTACACCTTTCACCTAGTTTATGAGGTTTTACTGCTCAATCCTAACTGTTCCCTACATTTATCCCCTCATATCTATTTATTTTTGTGACCACTTGTCCCTTATGTTTATGGCTATGGTTCTCAAGTTTAAGTATTTGTTGTCCTACGTTTCTTGGACATCTCTGCACCTTTATGCTTATCACTAGGCAATTTAACACAACATCTGTGCTTGTATATACGTATTATCACCTTTTCTTTTATTAGCAGGGATCTCACCTCCTATTTAAAAAATAAATAAAAATTTCAATCAATAAAGTGGTTTCAAATTAATTAGGTCATAGCTAATAGGATTTATTTTTAAATCTTTTTTGGTAATCTCTCCCAACTGGTTACGAGCTAGAGCCAATGCAGTCGCCATTCATTGGATGAGAGCATCAGCTGATCCCTCTCAGCCAATGAATGGCACACTGAGCAAAATAAAATTTGTACAGGATTGACATTCGCTCTGGGCTGGCTGATGACACCCCACAACCCTGACAGAGGTGAAGTTACACTTCCAGCACCCAAGGGGTTAAACTCGGAATGTGCACTTTTCACAGCGAAACATTGCACATATAGACTCCAGGCATAATGACCACTTTAAATAGCTGAAGTAGTCATTGTGCTTGGAGTAACTTTTTAAGGAAATGTTTATTTGTTAAAACCTGAACATGTAAACAAAAAAACATTGTATTTGATCATCTCTCTATTTTTAACGCATATTTTATTAAATTGGTGAAAAACCATAAATAAACTTAACTACTGTAACCATTTTTAGATTTATCGATTACTCGCAAAACTAATATACTTCGCTAAACAGGACAGAAGTTGTTTAACAGAAATAGAATGTGAAATTCATAGGGTTTTTGAAGTTATATAAAAGCCCTCTCTATCGATATATCTATCTATCCACATTTCATATGTTTATTGATTACATGCTATTGTATATTCCCACTGTTTTTATTGCTACAAAAGCTGTAGCTATATAACCCCTAATGATACCATAAGCACTTTCCTGAATACTAATCTAATCAAGAACATTGCAGGAACTTATGAAAACTGTTTTATTAATTACTTTAAATTTGACTTTTGTTTTTTTTCTTGACAGGGATAAAGCAGGGGGATATGGGATCCAATCCTTAGGCGGGATGCTTGTCGAATGTGTCCATGGGGATTTCTTGAATGTCGTAGGATTTCCTCTGAATCACTTCTGCAAAAAACTAACTGAAATCTACTACCCGCCATCTAAAAACACCATTCACAGAGTGAAGCATGACTCGATTCCTTACGTAGAGACATTTGACAACTTAAGTGATGTGGAGACAGACTCCACAAGCCAGAGAGCATTATTTGAAGGAAATAACGTTTTAGAAGAAAAGAGCATTCCCGGCAATAGTAGCGAAGATTTGGACTGTTCTTTGCAATATACATCAGGGTCCCAGAATGGAATTGTAGAAAAACCAAGAAAAGATTGTAAACTCCCATCAAATATCCTCAAACTTTTAGATGGATTTAAAGCATCTAAGGTATAATATCCGTATGCAGTAAAGATATATTGTTTTATTTGTAAATGTAAAAATATAAGATCTAACAACAATTGCTCACCATATGTTCCTTTGTTCATCTAAAACAAAAACTATAAATGGTCAAACATTTCTCATGAACAGACTTTAGTTTTTAGGGTTTAGTCTTTGTTTTGATAGTGTGTATTTTGAGTGGTAACTTTGTATATCAATAGCCTAAAACAAAACTTACATAGGATTGAATTTCAAAGGCTAAGATACTCTAAGCACCAAATTTAACTTAAAATGTTCCTCCAAAATCCATGATCACTTTTGCTTTTTGAAGTGGTCATGGAGGAAGGAATCTGCATCAGCTTGGGACACTGCACATCCAGAGATATTTTAACTTTTGTTTCAGGGCTGTTTTCAACCCCAGCACATGTGATTTTTGGCATCCTGGAAAAGCTGTGTTTATGTGCAAAATTGACTTCTTGTCAGCAAGCACTGCACACTGGCATCAGATGTTCCCTTCTGCCCCCTTTACAGGCAGAGCCTGCAAGGTGAAGCTTGTGTATCCCCAGTCTCTATCACTGCAAACCTTTTGCCTCCTAAACCTTCTGTTTTTGTTTGTTTGTTTTTAAGTTCCCTCCCTGTCTCCCTTTCCTCCCCACTCCTTCTCCCCATCTCCTTGCTGGCCCTGAGCTCGCCTTTTGATTCGACCTGTCAATGGCAACGGTGACGTCAGATTAGGGGAGGCTGAGCAGCAGTGAGAGCTTCAGCTGTTGCACCGGGAGCTTCGGCTGTTGCTGGATTTCAGGTGAGTTATAGCTTATTTTATTCTAGCATTTGTGGGGGTGAGGGGCAATGTACTATGCAAAAAAAATTGCTTAAAAAGGTTCAAGTGACCCTTTAAGAAGCAATTTTGATGCATAGATCATACCCCTGCAATCTTGGTGCTCAATGCTCTGCCTTTTAGTAGTTAAATCACTTTGTTTATATATCCCTAGCAAACTTCATAAAAAGGTTTTATTTTTACAGTACATTATGTTTACTTCAGAGGTTCTTATTTCCTGCTCTTATCAAAAAATATCACAAAAAGTGATATTCATCTGTATCAAGTGGTCATTTCTCCAGTTACTTCTAAACTTCATTATCATAAACAGATTATTATCTTAAAAACTGTTTTGAAATGTTCAACTTAGTTTGTTGTCTCTTGATTTTCTTGTTTCTTCTTATGTGTATAGGTATTGTTTGTAGCATCTAAATTTAAGATCTTTGATAAGTTGAAAGAAAATGGTGCCTCGAAGGCCGTTGAAATTGCAGCTATGATTAATGCTTCTGGACGTGGAACAGAGCGGATTCTTGATTCTTGTGTTGCCCTTGGCCTGCTCGAGAAAACACATCAAGGTAAATATTATTGGTAATTTATTTCCATGAACTGTTAGTCTTGTTGGCAAAGTATTGGTTGGAACATGTCTTCACGCAGTTGATTTCCACAAGTTAAATTGCTAGCTCTACACTTGGAAATGCACCAATTAGATTTTTCCTGATTTTCAAACAGCCAGAATGTAAAATTAGAAAACCCATCCCTTCAAGTCCCATGAGCTGAAACATTGCTGCTGTTAACCCTGTGGGAATAAACACACTGTGATCAGATCCTGCGTGCCCTTACTTTTCTTCCTTTTACAATTTTGGAGTTGGCTACTACAACCATGGCGTACTAGGTACATTTGTAATAAGGTTGCCATTCTGGTTCACAGCTTCTTCTAATTATTGGTAAGGCTAGGACACTAAAATACAAATATAGCCATGAATTGTTTGGGAATTTGAAAAATCTAGGTCAAGTTTGCTAAATTGGGATATTTCTCCAAGCAGAGTAAATAAGGGTCTACTTTGTAGTATTTTATTTCTCGATCACCACTGATAACAGATAAGAACTGGCTCATTCTTTTTTTTTAGTGTATAGCAACACCAAAGAAGCCAATACATTTCTGGCTTCTGATGGTGAATTTTCTGTTCATGACTATATTATCCATACAAATGACAACTTGTGGCCAATGTTCACACATCTGGAATCTGCTGTCAGAGATGGGACACGCCATCGAGAAAATGCCCTCATGAAAAGCACAGAGACCTCACACTGTGTAAGCTTTTGTTTTACCTTCGTGTTTAATATATACATAAAACCTATTGACAGTGCTAAAAAGTAAATAAAATACTTAAATGGTCGACTTAAAATCCAGTACTATGCAGTCAAGTGTGAAAATGTGGGATGAAAACATAGGAGAATGACAATAAACTTGGGTATCCAAACCACAACTTTTTAAAGGGACACTATAGGCATCATAACACGGTTAGCTTAATGGAGCAGTTTTGGTGTCATGATCCTGTAGTTTCACTGCTCAATTCTCTGCCATCTAGGAGTTAAATCATATTTATGCATCCCCACCTCCCCTGGCTGACTCACAGCATGCATAATTTTTTTTTTTTTTAATTTTCAATTAGATGTTAATTTGCATTAGACGTTTTTAATTTCCTTGTCTGTAAACTGAACTTTAATCACACACAGGAGGCTTTTGCAGGCTCTAGCATTTTATTAACAAAAGGAGATAAGAAATTCTAAATTAAACAGATTGTGCAATAAAGGAAGTTTAAACTGTAGAGTTCTCTTTATAGGAAGTGTTTAGGAAGGCTGTGCAATTCACATAAACAAAATGAGTTAACTCCTAAATGGCAGAGAATTGAGCATTGAGACTGCAGGGTCATGATATATACACCAAAACTGCTTCATTAAGCAAAAGTTGTTTTGGTACCCTTTAATAATAGTCTTTGGAAATTGTATGGATTTGCAACAAATGTCTTTCTTACACAGGGTATCAACCCAAATTGTAGCAAACTTGTGGAATCTGTTTATCATCATTCCCATGTTTACAAAGCCAAACAAACTAGAACTTAATATAATAATAATACTAATAATAACTTTTTAAATATAATTTAAACTTTGAACTATTCTTTACAGG